GTTGTTTTGCAGCTTCTCGCGGACCGTTTGCGGACTTAAAAAAATATATTTTTTTTAACCTGTATATGTTAATTGGGCGCTACTTCGCGGATTTTCGTTTATTGCGGGTGGTTTTGGTCCCCATTAACCGCGATAAACGAGGGATTACTGTATTTGAATAGCGTTTTGTGTCAACTAATGCGTGATCGGCCAGGTACGGCCCCAGCGCAATGTTCAAACAGGTAGACAGGCAAGCTGACATACGTTTAATAGACGCGAGTGTTAGGAACAGGTTCAAGTGGTCAGTGGCTTGAGGAAAAGTACTTGAACGGAGATTTTTTTTGTCCGACTACATTAGAAAGGTTGACAAACCTGGCAAGTCAGTTAAAATCATATATATATTAAAATATTAAAGGCAACTCATTATACTCTTAGTATTACTAGATCTATATCTATCTCAGAGCAATCTGGAAAAAAAAGTAGAAATTTTACTTTCAATTTTTGTCAGAATTTTGTTCACAGATATCGCCAGAATGCACCACAGCCATCCATTTTTTCAAAAATTTTCAGGGGGCGCCCCCGGACACCCCTAGCAGGACTTCGCACCTTCGGTGCTCGCATTTGTATTTTCAGGAATTTTCAGGAAAGTCCACTTTCATCTCTGTACAAAGGAAGTGTAGCAAACAAATGCACTCTTGGAGTTCATGGAATGGAAAAATAGTTGTGGGGTTTTGTACATTTGTCCAATTGTCACACCACAATTGGCCAAACCTTAACCTGACATTTTTCTGAAATAGGTAGATAACTAATAGTAAATTAGATTTTTTTTTTTTTTAAGGCCAAAGAAAATGGGCTGCAGAAGTACCCTGTCGAGCAAAAGCAATTTTATCTACAGTCTATTAATTTGACGGGAAACCTTCATTTTATATTTATTACATTTTCATGAGTTATTTTAGTCTCTCCCCCCCCCCCCCCTTACATTTTCCAATGTGATTGTCTCAGTAACTATGGTTTTACATTTTTCAACTATGGATTTGATTTCTTTCACAGTCTCACATTAAACCAATACAATGTCAACGTTGGAATGGGCCGCAGGCCAATATGTACAGGGAGTGTTGGACTTCAAGATAAAAAAAAAAAAAAAAAGTTACGACTCCTCACGAAAGGGATGGTGTGATTCAGCCTGGGTTCCTTTTGTCCTGTCCTATCAATAATTCACTGCATGTCTGAGGACTGTGCCGTGCGGCCAAGTGGTCGAGCAAGAACTCCTCCTCAAACAATGAATCCAAAAACTCCTCCCGCAGTCTCTGACTCTTCCCTCTCTTCTAACTGGCTCGCACAGCCGGAGTTCCCTCCCCAATCCCCCCCCCCCCCCCCCCCCCCCCCAACTGCTGGTGTTGTTGCCCGGTTACGTCAGGACTTTACTTGAGTAGCGCCACGGCTAGATGTAGGATGCGGCCGGGTACTGGTCTGAAGACAGCAGCTGGATGTTGTTCACCCTACGGCAGGTCTCACTGACCAGCAAATAGGCGCAAGAGTGCACTCTGGATTTTGTGGTTATTTTTGAGAAGCTCCGTGTTAAAAGTGGTACCAGCAACTATGAGGATGTCTTGTGACGTGCTGCTGCAGAGGTAAACACGCCAGTTGCATAACTCAGGAATGAATGATTGCTGTGGCATCGCGCAATTCTGAAATCAAAGTGGATTCCCCCCTCTCCCCCCCTACCCCTGGATTGGTTTTTTTATGAGTCGTTTTCATTCGGCCTGTTCCGTTTTGGACTCCAGACTGCAGAGGAGTCACATCATGAAGTGTCCTGTAATATCCATTGCGTTTGTTGAGTCGTTTTTCACCTCTTTTAAACCTCTGCATTCATTTTTAGTATAAATTTTTCATTGATTCATTTATTGTAAAAAGAAAAATACGAGCAATATTATTTGTAGAATACATGATTTTACATACAAATGTAACAAGTTTGATTTATACAATTATTAGTGCATGATAAAGTAAGATCACCAAAAATGGATTGTTGTTTTTCATATTTTTATTCATTTATCATTAAATAATTGGTCATTTTTATTGAAAAAGCAAATTTAAATTAGTAAAATGAACATTGTTATTGTCAATAGGTAAGGGATTGATTATAATTAAATCATAATAAGTGTACAATTACTGAAACTTTGTTTCATTTGTTTTATATTATAGTTGTCTTTCAAAAATGCTTTCTGTTAATCAAGTATTTGTGTTCTATCTCAGTAGCTTATTGTAAAATAAAACGATTTGTGCTTATACATTTAACACTTTCTATTTTATTAAACGGTTTACAACAGTTTAATTATAATCATAACACCACAAAATAAGGAAGAATCATTTTCATTTCGTTTTTGTATTCAGTGTTGTATTTTGTAGGCCGGTGGCAACCCACGAAGTTACGTGAATAGTGAATCGTGATGCAGCCGAATTCAAATCCAAGCCTTTTGCGAGCCTTTTGCCTTTAATCGCTCGTTCCGTCCACTCCACAACCTGCTTAGATGTCACACCTAAAACAGGTCACCGACTCATTTTGACCTGCTCTGCATAAAACATTGGCGGGGGGATGAAATTGGGTATTCACACGATAGTATGGCACCTTTAAATAGTTACAAAATAAGAATTTTGTACATGCACTTTAGTTTCTTTTTTGAGTATAATAATAAATATGTTTGAGTGCAAAAGCTTGCCCACCCCGATTCGATAGCGTCGTCGACACCTCTCCCCCGGCCGGGCTCAATGGCAGCTAATGGATTAGTTTATGATGTGTCTGCATGTGTCTCAGTCATACTTGCTGACTCACCTCCAGCGTGGCCTGCCCACAGAAAAATTGCTTTGGGGGCGCACGACACGCTCCGGCACATGTAAATTCATAGTTGACACCTCAAGCTGATTTTTAAAAAATATATATATATATATATTTTTTTTTTTTTAATCCGCAACATACACTTGTCACTTCGTGTACATTTGGTGCATGCAGCGGACACATCACACACAAGTACCACGCCGCACAACCCCCACCGTGTGCCACTTCTCTGAGCAGCCGACAAAAGTCGATGCAGCTCATCTTACTTTTTGACTTTGACATAATGTTCTGGAAAATTAATTGTTGAATGAATGTGTGTGTGAATTGGGAAATGTGAGGCTTTGTAAAAGCACTTTGGATACGATATGGTGTCGATAAAGTGCTGTATAAGTGCCCTCTATTTGCCATTTACTGAAGTCGCTGTGGGCCTCTGCCCTGCCGAGCTGCCAAGTCAATGTCATTCGGTGTGGGGTTGTCACAATCTCGCAAAATTGAGACGCATTTATAGAAATGGGCAACGATGACAAAACATTTGGTTGCAAGAAAAAAAAAATCCAAAGTTGTAAAATTGTAGTGCCTCTCGGACATACGGCTGCTAATGCTAAGTTCTACTGATTCTCCTGGTACCTACAGGAGCCTTACCGAGATGTGTACAAATGCACTTGGGGTGTTTTTTTGTTTGGTTTTTTTTCTCCTTTAATCAAATCATGACAATGGCTTTATTGATCAGGTAATGTTGCAAGAGGTGCTTGAAATTGTGCTATTAAGCTGATTTGGCACCATCATTGTAGAATATGGGCAATTTATTATTATTATTTTTTTTTTGCAATTGCTCATTTTCTTGCTGTTAGAATTTCTTCTCAGACGTAATCAATTTTGCGTGGAAGGGCCCTATTTCTCGACTCCATAGTGTGCTCATGTCAAGACTTGACATGTTACCCCACAGGTCCACTGAATTGAATTCTTAGCTTGGTCTGTCAAGAGGCCCCTCAGCCCCCCCCCCGCCCAAGGACAAGTCGCTGAGTCCTACCAGTGTCGTGATGACACGTTATCAAGGGTTACGTAATGTTCTAGCGCTAGTCAATGTGGCCCTGAGTAGGACAGAATGAAAATCTCTACCGGGTCGTGGTTGAGCTTCCATGGCAAAGAAGTTTGATATACAGTAAATGAGGGGTAATATTCTGTCATCGTGGTAGGAAGTGAATTTGGCATCTTATTTCCATATCAGGTCATCTATCACAAGTCAAATTTATCATGTTATAACATATCACATTTTAGCATGTTAGCATGCTGATTATCACGTTGAAATTTGAAAAGTTAATCATCAGATTTATTAGAATTTTTTTATTTTTGATAAAATTTGTGTATTTTCATTTAATATTTTGTTGCAAATATATAGACACCCTTTGGTCCCTTGAAAGCTGCAAAATAAATTTCTTTTTATCCATCTCAACTTTTGTATTACTGTGTAATTTTTGTTTTTTCAGCCAATATTTTTAATTTGTTTTCTCATTTTTTATTTCCCATTTTTGTTTTTCATCTAGGCTTAAGTATGTCAAAGAAGTTATTTTCTACTTTATTCTTTATACAATTGTCTTTATGTGCAGCTATTTTCCTATAGGCACAATAGCACACACCTTGAACTGTTTTCTGCAAGTGTGCCTCATTGCATGTGTCGCTATTGTTGTTGCCTCATCTCAGTGCACATATCAAAAGAAATGTCTTTCACGTCGAAGCTTTATAAGGTTTTTCCTCTCTCACACAGACTTGAGTGTGTGCTTGAACTTTTGCGCACCGTTCTATAACATCACTGACATTGTTTTGTTACGTAAACGCGCTGCCCTGGAATGTACCCGGTGTGTGTTTGCGAGCATCCGCAGCCATGTCTCAGCTGTGTGGAGACAACAACTGTGCAAATGTGACCACACACACACGCACACACACAGTCTGATATCGTATTAACAATACAGTAGCCTAAATATCAATTTGCCTGCCTCCATTGGCGCCGCTGAGTTTGTCAATATCGCCTCAGTGGCCTTTGTGGGCATCCTTGTAGCCGTCCTTATTCTCTTTCCTGTTTTGACTCCCACACACGCACATACTCGCCAAGGTCATTCCATGTCTGTAACGGCAGTCCAGGAGAACAGGATGTTCTAAGCGCGGCGTGGTCTTTTTCTTCTCTCTGCAGCTCCCATCTCTCCCCTGTGCCCATGTTGCCTGCTGACTCTGCAGAGTGAGTATGCACGCACACGCGCACACACACACACACACACACACACACACACACACACACACACACACACACACACACACAGTTTAATAAAGGTACACAGATAACTACCGGTATGTGAGAATGAAACATGGAGGAAGGCAGTACAGGTCATGTAGAGCTTATTTTACCATTGTATTTTTGTCAAATATTTTTGTATTTTACATCACAAGTTTCACTTTTTTTTAGTATTTCTGAAATAAATCACATTTTTCATGATATTCAAATTTTTGGACGAGCAATTGGAGCCAATGTTTTGACTTGGGCCCCCTCCTAACAGTAAATAGAGCCACATTTCTTTGAACAACGTAACAATCATTTCTGTGATGAGGAAGAGCATGGTCAAAGTGCGACAGACGCATGTTAATGAGATGTGAAGATGGCATAAAAGTGCTGGGTCAGAAGCGATCGTGTCACAAACCACAAAATAAGGGGGGAAATGTAGCTACTCACATGACTGTCAGCCGGCGCATCGCGTGCTCAAATCCATTTTGATGTCAGTCTTCTTAAACGAAGGCTTTAGATGCTACTTTGCGGACAGCTGCATACACAATATTACAACAATATGTTCCCATCACGTGTACCAAGCCCGTGGTGGGCCTGTGAGCAAAATTAAAAGAGAAGGACAAGAAAGGAGGCGCATCACAATCTCACTAAATCTTAAGGATCAAGTATCTGACAAAGGTGCGTGGGATGAGCGTGACCTTTTACAGTCTGGCTTCGTTCCTTCTTTAACGTCAAGAAGTCATATATGGGGAGCCTCAAAAACACAATCTGGCTAGCATATTCACATCATAGGGAGTCCACACTTCACATGAGGTGAGTGGCCAACTGATTTTTTTTTCCTCCGTTTCCCCACCTAGTCCAAATCGGAGAGGAATCATTGTGCCCTGTACAGTGGGCCTTAGTCATTAGTCAAGTTTCACGATGCGTGAAGCCAAATTCAAGGACAAATGCATGGTCCAGAACGACACACAGTGATTGAATTAACGCACGGACGCAAACACTTGTGTTGCAGCATAAAATTATTTATCACCAAAGCACAGTTGCAGTACAATGTCAAATTATTTTTTTAAATTTATTGTGGACTTTGTAAATGTTGATGGCTGCCAGTAAGTTCTAATAATGAACAAACAAAAACTTGCCAAATCCAAGCCAGTCTTTTTCTCTTTCAGCACCTTTTTTTTCTCTAAGGTACGTGTCTCTCAAGGCATTCCACTTTATACACGCACCCACACCCGACCTCGCGAACTGCAATGACTGTATATGGAATTACACCCACAAAAACGCTTACCCTGCATTTGGTCTGAACGCAGCATTAGAGTGCTGTTGACATCATCGCTGGCTTAGCCCGGGCTGTAGCTATTATGAAAGGCTTAGGGCAAACGCAGCCAACCCCGCTATGGACATGTTCATCCATAAGCGTCCCTTGTATCGATCTCCACCTTATCATACATACATATGACAACATTTTTAAAATAAATACATGTTTATACTATAATATAACAACAAATATGACGATCTAAACATTATAATATGTATGTAGACCATATTTTATTAACAAAGATTATGGTGTGCAATTGACTTGAATGCAGAATTGTTGTTCTCCTAGTACAAAATATGCTGCAATAACTGTCGCACACTAATGTTCTTGATGTAATTTTAAATAAATGGAAATTCAGACAAATCTGAGAGTGGATTTCTATAGGTTGGCTACTCAGCTATGGGATTTTCTTTCTTTTTTTTGTACCTTGTTCATTTATGTTTCTGAACTGAAGTGTGTTTCTCCTACTGTATGAAATGAGCATGGATGCACAATTTTTAGTGGTTCTGGATTCGAATTATGAAGTTCAAAACACAATTTTAAAAAAAGTATTCAAATTTTGCAGTTCAAGAAAAAAAAATTGTATAAAAACTATTGAACCGTGACTTTAAAGCAAATGTGTCAAGCTAAGGCCCGGGGAGCCAGATGTGGCCCATGACATCATTTTATGTGGCCTGCGAAGGCAAATTATGTCCGTTGACTCCATATTTTTTTGCAAATTGTCTCCACTTCACAACACTGACATATTAGATACTCCCGAGATTTTTTTGTGACCAATCCTCCTTTCAAAATAAACTGAAACATAGTTGGACGAGAATTTGCTGTCTTCTGATTTCCAAACTAGTTATCCATCATTTTTTTTGTGTGTGTAAAAGTGAGAGCATCAGACGATCAAACATTTATATTGGTTCGCAGCCATAATGGTCCTCTGAGGGAAACCAACACTACAATGTGGCCCGTGACAAAAATTCGTGTGACAGCCATGCTTTCAAGTATCAAATGAACAGAACCGTGAATTTTGTGTTTGGCTGCATCGTTAGGAACAATCGCATATTGCGAAATGTTAGCACACGTAACGCAGCGCACCTAATATAACATGGAGCAGCACATATCCTAACACTTGTAAAAGTGTAACCGATGGTCACTGTGTAAAATGTGTCACATGCGTAACTTAACTTGTGAAACAATGCATAGCAGCCCTTATTCCCCAACGTGTAAAACAACAAATGCACCGAACACCCATCACTCTGGAGTTGTAAAATGCACGTTGCGTGTCATTGACCACGTGTTGTGTGTCTTCAGGATCATCGAACAAACCATCAGGGCAGCGGTGGAGCAGCATTTCTTGGATCTTAAGTCCTCCATTGACCAGGACCTTGGCAACTTTGACAGCCACCAAGGGTGACAGAACAACACAATTTGACATGCCAAGCTTTGTGTGACACATTCTCCTTATCCCCTGAACCCTCTTTTACCTTCTTTCAGTGACACAGCGCAGCCTGCTGTTTGCCTTGGTGAGCACCAGAAAAATACAGACCAGAAAGACACGCAGGTGAGGATGGAAGTCTTGGAGCTTGATTTGCATCCAAGACACAAACTGTTAATGGCTTCTGCTCCCTGTTCCTCCCAGAATGCACTGGGGCGCCTGGAGGAGGGTTCAGGAATGGAGCTGGATGCCGTCCGAGATACCCAGAACAACATCGGCGCTGCCAGGTACATGTTCATAACTGCCTTTGATTCAGTTTGGAAAATGTCTCTCTCGCATGCTGGGGCCACTCAAGGCTTCCGCTGGCGGATAACATCACCCACGTTTACAAATCGTTTGGCTGCAGACTAAACTGAAATGGCCTAAACGTAACAAATAACAAAAAAAAACGCTTGTGTCATCATTCTACATGGTCTGCATGGTTTAGCAACGCGTCATGGCTGCTATGATCATTTGGGCATGGCAGTTAGTACGTCCAGCAAGTAAAACATGTGATTCCGATAAGGCAATTTAGATTCAAATTTTAAAATCATGTGACATGTTCACATGCTTTTGTGCGTGTGTGTGTGTGTGTGTCACACACACAGTATATTAACGACTCATCAACTCTTAAATTAATTATTGACGATTTTGATTGCCATTGCGATGGATCGACTAATCTTGGCGCCGTTAATGTGCACAGGCCGGGACGTGGCCTGAATCTATGTTCAACGATGAGGTCGGTGGGTCGAGTAAAAAAAAAAAAAAAAAAAAAAAAAAAAAAAAAAGCAACAGGCAAAAATCTGTCGTGTTCATCTGAGAACCACACTATTTTTTATGTATACCCTTCATTATGTATTATCTCATAATAATTTGTTCCCATGGACCCAAAAGGCATTTTGGGAAATATTTTGATGTGACCATGTTTGTGTTGTGCTTTCAGTGCAGATCATCAGCCTGGTGATGCCACACATTGTGTAAGTTAACTCACTTATGGCACGCTACATTCGTAAAACACATAACGGAACATGTAACATGTCATAGCTTAGTGTACCATATATCTTAGTGTAATACGTGTCATGTCACACATGACATGATAAATGTGCCACGTTGTGTATAACGCGATACATGCAACCTGAATGCAAGACAAATAATGAAACGTAACGAAAAGCGTGAATCGTAGCATGTTACCTCCCCTCACACACCATAACGTTGTGTAATTGATTAAGTAATGCACATAACGCAGCACGCGGCATTGTGTATCACATGTAAGTGTAACGCAAACCACAACTCGTAGGTGATACTAGAAATGTAATCCAGTGTAACACACAGGGCACTGCGTAAGGCAACATAAAAATTGTTGAAGGTGTAAAATAACTTTATTTAACAGTGTAAAAAGTAAAGTCATGCACATCTTCTCTCGTTCTCACCTTGCAGGACTCTTCATTCGACCAGAATGCCAACACCAGCCAAATGTTAAGCAGTGGCCACGCCCCGCACATCCAGCTGTTCCCCGACCACCAATGGGACGGTGCGTGACAAAACAGACCAAAACATGACTCATCCTCCTCATGCAGTGAACCACTGCCTATATGCCATTTGCTTGTTTTTTTTAACTGTATAACATTAAAATTATATGCCCCCTCCCCCACACACACACACATACACAAAAAAAAAAATCACCAATTTGTGCTTATTGTACCACCCATAAAATGTTGCCCAAATGGCCTGTATCGTCTCAGGGGACATGACATGAGGTCAATCACAACGAATTTCAAATAGGTTTGCGCAAAGGCGTGTGGCTACTTTCTTTGACCCCGCGCATCAACTACTGAGTCAATCTTCACAAAACAGGTAGAATCTCGGAAAGGGAATCCCAATCTGGAATCATTTAGAAGAGCGGTGTATATTTTAGTGACTTTACCTTTTGGCCTACAATTTGACCTTGTGGGTCACGCAACCTTAACTAAAATTTTCATGAAACGTAACTTTGAATCAAATGGGAATGTAGAAAGTGAGGTAAGCCTCCAAAGCTTTCCTAAAGAAAGAAGTTGTTCAGCTCATTTGGTGCAAATCATGTTCCATAACGATGGGAGCAGAATCCGTACAGCGGCATCACCGAGCCCACTCTCCAAATCAGTGCCCCCTCTGTCTGTCCAGAGGGGCAAGGACAGACAGAGGAAGCTTCGGCAGTCAAACAGGCAACATGTCGTTCAACAAAATGTAAGAGTATACAAATGAGTCTGAAGTTGCGTTTTAAACATTTCCACTGAGGTAGCTGCTCTAATTTGCGTGGCGAGGGCATTCCAGAGCACTGGAGCCTGAATAGAAAACACTCTAGAACCTGCGGACTTCTTTTTGGCTCTTGGAATCACGAAAAGACCAGCGCGTTGTGAATGAAGAGTTCGGGGTAGGACATACGGTGTCATTAAGTCAATTAGATAGGAAGGTGCCAAGCCGTGTACTATTTCATGAGTACCAAAACCTTAAAATCGCACTTCATTGCACCTCATATGGCCCGAAAGCCAATGCAAAATGTTCTTTGCTGGAACAGATTAGTGCCATTCCCACTCATGTCTCTGGGAAAAGATGATTTAAGATTGTGTTTTGAGTTAGGGGCATTGTCACGGAACTCGTATCTTCAGTATAGTTTGCAATCAGCGCAATTGTTCAAAGGTTTGGGGTCATATAGAAATCTATCATGTCAGGCAGGCCAATTAAATGCTCTTCCACGAGGACTCACTCTCATGCTTGTGGTGCAAAAGCAGGACGCGCATTTGCATTGACCGAATGTTGCCGACCGATGGAGCTCACTGCTCGTCTTCTCCTCCTCTCCTCCCTTCACCCCAAACAGCACCACCTCTTCCTCATCATCATCACCACCACCTCCACCTCCCTCTCATAGATTTCTCATGTATGCACCTGCAGAAAGAAGGCCAAGGTGAGTGGTTGTACATGTGCGAGCGCACCTCTCGCCCAACCAACCAACACCCGTCCTCGCTCTCTCCCCGATTCTGCTGTCCATCGGATACATAGGGAAAGGGCTCCTATGACTATTCCTCTTTTCTTCTTTCAATGGGATATTTTCCTCTCTGTGTCTGCCCCGAACACATCAAAGCCTCCCATGTTGTCTTTACACCAACAGAACGTGTAAGACTTGTCCTCCACTTGTGTCCTCCGGCAGATCCGGTTCCGGCCTTCAAGTCCTGGCAGGACGACAGCGAAAGCGGCGAGGCTCAGCTGTCCCCCCTGGCGGGACGTATGGTTCCCCTCCCACTGCTGCCCCTGGAGGAGGATGACGGAGATGAGGGCGGTGGCGAGGGCGGGGGGGAGGACGCATCGCCCTCGTCCTCCCGCTCGCACCCACACCTCCTGGCGCGCCGCTTCCTGGACTTCGGCGTGCACGGCGCACAGCGCTTCTTGCAGCAGGATGCCGACGCCACCTCCCCCACCAAAGCACACAGGTGAAATGCAGGCCCAAGAAAAAGATTAGCTATGTTTACTCCGTTACCATTACTTTTACACATTGGATAAATTGTACTTGTCAGAATTTTTTTTTTTTTTTTTTTTAAATATACATTTTAAGACACGCTATTGACTTCCTCCCTTACTTTGAGCTAAATTTCACCAAGTACTGAACTTGTCTTTCCATCCATCCATTTTCTAATCCGCTTCTCCTCATGAGGGTCGCGGGTATGCTGGAACCTGTTTGTAGCCAATCGCAGGGCGCACATAGATGAACAACCATCCGCATTATATCGTGTGTGTGTGTGTGTGTGTGTGTGTGTGTGTGTGTGTGTGTGTGTGTGTATATATAGAGATATGTAGATAGAAAAATAAACCCTGACTCTTCAAGACACCATAAATTTTTGAAGGGATCAACGCTTGCCCCAAACTCAACCTAAGATACGAACCGAACCGTGGATTTCATGAACCGTTCCACCCATCTTGAGTATAGTCGCAAATGCTTTGTTCCGACTTCCCGCCCTTGCCCTTGGCACACACTTGACCTGAATTCAACCTCTTCAGGCCGAGGCGAGCGTCGTTCGGCTCCAAGGAGGCGCTGAGAGGAGGCGACTCAGTGACGCACCAGCTCACCAAGAAGCTTCAACACCTCAAGAAAAAGATCAAACAGTTTGAGGAGCAGTTTGAGAAGGAGAAGAACTACAAGGTACGAGAGAAATCGCAAATGAGCAAGTCATATACTCTGCGTTTCCAAATTATGCAAATGGTGTTTTTCTCAGATTTTTATCAATTAATGGCACTCTGCATCATTTTCAATTCATCAGCTGTCACGGAACAGTTGGAATATTTTTCAACAAAGCTCACACTGCAAACAGTGTTATTTTCAAAAATGAAAACATAGTTTTTGTTCAAATTTACTCTTCGAAATGATGATACCACAGCAGTGTCGTGGGGAACACTGACGAAAAACATTCTAGATGAATATACGTTGTACTGTACAAGGATGTTCAATGTAATATGCTCACAACAGTGAACGAGTTAATTGGGGTGCTCCTGCGGTAAACTCCATTGATTCGACCCCAAGCCTGCGTGCTCTTGATCATATCCATTTTGGGGGGGTGTGGTGTGTGTGCAGCCGTCTCACGGCGACAAGGCAGCTAACACCAAAGTCCTCAAGTGGATGACTGACCTCACCAAGATCCGACGGCAGATCAAAGGTAGACGCGCCTCGCGCGTATGTGTGTTTGTGTGTGTGTTGTATGAGCTGTGAGTGTTTAGCGCCATGGACACCCACGCGCCCAAACACACGTGCACACACACACTGCATGAATGCAGCACTAACCAGTGGCTCTCACACATCCACCCTTCAGTGGGACGCCAGCGAAATTGCAAACCCGTGAATTTGTACAATGGCTGTTATAGCACCCGACACGTGGCGCCCAATCTCGTGGTCTCCCTCGGCGAGGCGACCGTCGCCTCCTTTGTGGAGGCCGCCGCATATGTCCTGTGAATAACCCGAGAACCCGCTTTCCTCCCTCTCTCGAAAAAAAATCCACCCGACCGACCCAGGACGCCAGCACCACCTTTTTCCCAGGAGCACGTTGAGGCACCAGACTGTGCTCCACTCACACAGGCGCCATCCTGCGCCGCCCACCCTCACGCCCCCCTCACATTGCGCACTCGCCCCCCACTCGGGCCCGTGTCACCTCAGTAAGTAGCAGCCTGCCCGTAAGTAGACGCGTCCACTGTTAGGTGGCCCTGTGAGAGCATCCCTCCCGCTTCCTTCATGTCGACACGTGCTCTCTTTCTCTGTGTAAATGTGTGTGCTTGTGTGTGTCCATCCTATGTGTGATGTCATTCAAGCTGTTGTGGTTGTTATTGGGGTTGTTTTGAACACAGCAATGATATAATTCATTCGCTCTCACACATACACACACTCACTCATCCATTCATGTTTTCTGGTTTCAAGCATGGGTTTCAAGTTTCAAGTCTTTGTTTGTGTTCAGATTCGGGTTTCAAAGCCGGGTTCCAATTTCGGGTTTTACCGTGTGATTGGGGTTTTCAATTGTGGGTTTGAATCAGGAGGAGTGTTTTCAATGAGATTTGGAATTGGACGGTTTAAAGCGTACGGTTAGTGTTTTTTCAATATTAATTATTTCAGAAACCCACCATTAAGTTTAATAATATGCAAAAAAAAAAAAAATGTTCAATCTCATCACAGTATTTTTTTTTTTTTATGTAATTGTTGGTGAAGTCATCACTAATTATATTACAGAGGCCGCCATATTTCTCCGCAATCTGTCTTCTAGTTTCACGAAAGAGACAAACTTAAGCGCGAACATAGATCCTCAACATGTTGACGACCGCATGAGGAACAACTGCCATGCACTTACTCTGTCACGCGACGGAATACGTGAAGTCGTTTTGGATGCCATTTTGCTTGCACTTCTGCTGGAATGGGTACAAAGCTTGCGAAGTATTCTCTCTCCAAGGCTCTATCATGCGCATGCTTAAAAAAAGCGGGCGTCGTGAGCTTCGGTCGTTGCATTATATTATGTCGCCACTAGGTGGCACTAAAGTCTACACACTGTGCCTTTTAACCCTTTCTGGGACAGCAATTACTAGAGTGGACAATTTATCATGTGATCAGGTTACACAGGGTGTGTGAAAGGGTTAGGTTGAGCTTCAGGTTTTAAGTTGGTGTCAAACAAGGGTCAGGGTTTCCATTTAGGATTTCAAACCAGAATTTTGGGCTTCTAATTCAGCTTTTCGGCCAGTGTCAGTGAGAAGTGACAGTTTGTTGCATGGGTTGGGGTTGGAAAGTAGGGTTTCAAGCCTGCCTTAGGGTTGGACTCTCATTTTCAGTCAAGGTACGGATTAAAGTCTTGGGAAGGGTTTTAAAGTAGGGCTTCAAGCCATCACAATATCAATTGCTTGGGTCCACCATCTTTCAATGTTATCGAGTCGTGCGTGCGTGTGTGTGCGTGCGTGCGTGTGTGGGTTGGGGTTGGAAAGTAGGGTTTCAAGCCTGCCTTAGGGTTGGACTCTCATTTTCAGTCAAGGTACGGATTAAAGTCTTGGGAAGGGTTTTAAAGTAGGGCTTCAAGCCATCACAATATCAATTGCTTGGGTCCACCATCTTTCAATGTTATCGAGTCGTGCGTGCGTGTGTGTGCGTGCGTGCGTGTGCGTGTGTGTGTGTGTGTCAATGTTGCATGCTGCATGCGTGTCTGACATGTTGACATTGACAATGGTGTTGGTGTGTTGTTGCCGTCAAATCAAGCTCAGTCGTCGGTTGCTCTCTAAACTTCTCCCACGTGGCGTTGTTGTCCTTCTTGTCGGTTTGCGGCACAGACGCCAAACAGCGCGCCGAGAGCGAGCTGGGCCCTCACACTCGCCCCCGCAGCAACACGCTGCCCAAGAGCTTCGGCTCCTCTCTGGAGCAGACGTCGACGCAGCAGGCCTCGGCGCCGCACCCCACCCGCGAGGAGACCATGGAGCTCATCCAGAGACGCGTGAGCGGCAAGCGGCAGGAGGACGGCTGGCCCGATGACATCAAGGTGAGCCGTCCGTTAGCCTTAGTAAGGTTAGCGTGGCATCGGACGATGTTGACGCCATT